CCCGTTTACCATCATATATCTCTCTCACACCGCTACCCAATCCACTACAAGTGATATGCAAAGCGCCATCATGAATATGTGCAATTAGGCAGGGCTGGTGAGATTTTTCAGACTTATGGGATGTGACATTTATAGGGCAGAAGCACAGATCAGCATAAGCGAGAGTGACAAATGCCTAATCCCTTCCTCCACATTTCAACATTTTTCAGGGTCTATTACGATACGTTCTTGCATACACACACCTACGCTGCATATTCGCGCATTTGAATTCCCCGATCAACACGCCTTGGCAGCGGTCATATGGTATCATAGATACAAACAACATCACCACAGTAAGAACAAGAGGAGACTTCTTAATGGATCATGAAGACTTGTCAGAGTGCTTGTGCTCTGTACATCAAGGCCGTTCTGTATGGAAATCACACTATTTTAAAATGGTTTGTGTGACAGAGTGAGTCTCAAGGATAATCAGTTGTGAGTTATTGAGAGGGAAAACATATACAGTTATATTCACACATCACACAGAAAAAAAAGCAAAATGATAAGACACAAAATCCCACACTAATAACCATTTTTGGAGCCTTTTACCTAAAACCATGTGTATCCAGTGAACATGGATTGTGTGTTCACTATACTTTTGCTTGTCAAATAACTGGCAATCCTTGCTATTCATCAAACACCTACTTCAGTTGAATATAAAGACTACAACCAGGCATTTTACATGAAAACATGTGAAAACATAACGTTTCTATTTTATTTCTCAAAGTAAGCAATATAATATTTCCAGGAAATTACTCTTCGCTGCAATGCACTTAAATAAATACACATTAAGAAATATATAATTTGAGCGAAACACACGCACACACACACACACACACACACACACACACACTGAAACAGATATTGTTCACTCGTTCAATATGCAGGCATACCCCCCACACACACATACTGTATATAGTAACAAAATTTGAGCGAAACACACGCACACACACACACACACACACACACACACACACACACACACACACACACACACACACACACACACACACACACACACACACACACACACACACACACACACACACACACACACACACACACACACACACACACACACACACACACACACACACACACACACAAACACACACACACACACACCTGCATGTAATGTGGCACATTGAATGAGCTCCTCCTTGCAAACCTCTTCCCCCACAAGCTACCACACACACATCATGTCACACACACGATGCATGGCGAGGCGTCGCTCACACCACCCAGGAAATTAACTTGACATTTTATGGCGACCACAGAGAAAAAAAATATGGAAGGAAAGGAAAAAAAAAAACAAAGCGTACCAAAGGCACAGATAACATAAACCCTCTCCCGAGCCTCGCCATCATATTCACCAGGATTTTCACCGATCTGCAATGCAGACGGCACGGGGTGGCTACAGAAAATGAGCTTTTCTGTCCTCGCCCGCCTTCCTCCGGAGACGATGGCGGTCTCTCTCGCTCACTCTTTTTCTCCTTCGATAAATGCTTCCTGTCTATTTTCATATCCAATTCAGTTGGTCCCATTGGTGCGGTTCTGCCTGATGTGAGGTTAACAAAATGAAATAAATAGAAACGGGACAATCTCACCTCAGTCTAAGCTCCCAATTAAAATGATACAGCCGCCCATGTCAGAGAACGAGAGCGTATTGAAATGGGAAAGGAGAGTTGCTTTGTGGCTGCTTGGATTTATTTTTTCATATATGCGTGTGCATGATGGACCAAGCCATATTGTCATTGCGACTCTTCCGGCACACACACACACACACTCTTTTTTGTTCTCCATTTCTCAGACACAACCTTTGCTAAAGCACAGCTATAGTGCCCGCCTTCCTCCGGAGACGATGGCGGTCTCTCTCGCTCACTCTTTTTCTCCTTCGATAAATGCTTCCTGTCTATTTTCATATCCAATTCAGTTGGTCCCATTGGTGCGGTTCTGCCTGATGTGAGGTTAACAAAATGAAATAAATAGAAACGGGACAATCTCACCTCAGTCTAAGCTCCCAATTAAAATGATACAGCCGCCCATGTCAGAGAACGAGAGCGTATTGAAATGGGAAAGGAGAGTTGCTTTGTGGCTGCTTGGATTTATTTTTTCATATATGCGTGTGCATGATGGACCAAGCCATATTGTCATTGCGACTCTTCCGGCACACACACACACACACTCTTTTTTGTTCTCCATTTCTCAGACACAACCTTTGCTAAAGCACAGCTATAGTGAAAAAAAAATACTGCAAAAGCATTTTGCAGTGCCTATTTGCATCCTCGCACATGACATACACATGAACGTGTGTTTGTAAGAGTTGCAATGGTCTGAAGCCATTGGGTCAGTGCTTGTTGATATAATCTTAAAGAAAAGATTCAAACACACCCGTGCATAAAGAGTCCAAATTAATGTATCTCAGGATGCTGAGTGCATGGACACACACAGCCGCACATAGACATACACACACATGTGCTCGTCTGACTTGGTGCATCTCTCTGTGGCTGGGTCCTGCTCTATTAGACATGCAGCAATGTTAACATCATTATGCATTATTCTGAGTGTCTGTCTGTGCTTTCACACCCCCCTCCTCTCTCTCTCTTTCCATTGCCATATTGTGTCTGAGGAGAGGCCCAGACGTGTGTGTGCCACAGACTAACGCAGTATTGTGTCTCCTGTCTGGGGATGGGCATTATTTTAACGGCCTTTCATGTGCCGCTGCACACAAATCACTGATCTTTTTGGAAATGGAAGAAGTGGCAAACACACGCATATGGACAACCACACCCAATCACACACGTTTATAAATTATATTAATGCTCTACACATGCCTTGCAAATTATGCCCAGGCTAGGTTGTCGCACGTCTGAAGAAAAGCACACACAAAAGAGTGCATGCGATCTAACAATGGAGTACAAAAAAGAAAGAAAGAAAGAAAGAAAGAAAGAAAAAGAAAATAAACATATATTGAATTATATTATTTTTAATGATATATTTTCTAATGGTGCTCAGTGGCTAAACTAATATTACAGTCACGAGTGTTTGCCAATTATGCAGCTTCATACATAATGCAATCAGCTGTGACTATCATCAAGTCCCATTTTCAGACTGTTAATGGGGAGGGGGTTTTATATTTGCAATATTTCTCTTTGGGAATAATGAAAAGCCAATGAGACACTTATAAAATGTCATAAATTCTGATCAAGCTGAAGCACTGACCTCATTTTTTCTTTTTAACCCAAAATTTTATTAGGCTGAAAAAAACTCTATTTTTAGCCTATCAATAAATTGTCTTGGGTTACGTTATTTAACACCTCTAAGTATTACACTAACACTTCTTATTTAATTGATGTATTTTATATTTAAATATATCAGTCTGAAAATGCAACAGTGATGTTATATCATTACTTTTAAAGCATTGTGGTGAACAAAAGAACTATGATACACAGTCAAAAATGCCAAAGGAGGTGATAAAGGAGGCAGCAATGAGCAAAACTTATAGCCAAGAACAACTCTCCGGCGATACAGCTGATCATTATTTGAGATAAAACCCTATCTCTTGTGGGTGTGGGTGCGGTAGAGTATATGTAGATTGTATAATAAGAGGTCAGACGGTTTATGCAAAGGATTTAAATTAATATGCATGACTTTTTGATGTATTTTAACCTCAAATCTGGCAAGAATGTTTTAAAACAATGTGCCCTGAGAATACATATATATATATGTAAACATTCAGTGTATTTGAAGTGAACCTCCACTACAGCCTCTTCTCTGCTTCCCCTCTCAACTCCTCCCCCTTGCTGCTTGAAATCTGCATACATTTGCATGGTATTACCATGCGCATATTCTTTGTTCTGAGAGGGAAAGGATGATGCAGTTTACAACCACATTGCACGTCGCTGTTATGCGCTCCACTTGCAGATGTTTGGATATTTAATGACTGCAAAAATGCTTCATCATCTGCAGTCATGAATGGCTAACTAGCTTTTTGAAAATGAGACAAAAATAGAAAAGCATGAAAAGATATGGTTATATAAGAGACTGAGTGCTGTAAATTGTGGGAGGTGGGGATTGTTCAATGAATCAAACTACTTCTCAAATTAAAATATTTCTATTATTAATAAAACCTAAACCATTCAACGACATGCATGAACGTATATTTTCGGCATACTATATCTTGTTTTGTTATATTGAAATTCTCTTGAATAGCGTCCAATACAGATTTAATTTTTTACAACACCATATGCATTCAAACTTGTCACATAAAACACAGTGATAAAGGACGTTTGATACACAGCAGAAGCATGGGCTGGCATGCTGTAAAGTGACATCTATTGTCCTCGTGGGCTCTTCCCTTTGTGCCGCGGCCAACTGTAATCATGCAAACGCAGGCACCAGACTTCATTAGCTCCTCAGGGCCAACGCTAATCACACCACAGCAAGGCACAAGAAAGGAGGGGCCACAGAGTATGCATAAAACAGCCGGGCATCGCCTGTGTGCTGCTGATATACAGGTATGGTGTACTGATAGCATGCACGCTAGCACTAACTGCTCTTTTTTTTTTCTTATATTTGCTAACTTTGCTAGTCAGCTTTCCGGGTATGCAGATTCAGAATTTATTAAGTAAAATTAAAATTAAAATATGTACTGTCAGGGGTGTGAATACATATTATAATGTAATGAAAAAGAATGGAAAGAACTTAAAAAAGAATTGAAAGAACTTGAAAAGTGCATCTGAAAAATTAAGGCACTAAAGTGCCCAAATATAGTTTATGTGCTTATGAAGCATTTTATGATTTAAAACTAACAAAAATTATGAGAATGAAGACTTTTAAAGCCAGCATGCTTTGTTGCAACTATAAATTTGTCAGATAAAATAACAGGGATTACAAATATACAGTATTTATGGACTATGACTTGGGTTGATTTTTAAATCTGGATTAATCTGAGAACTCACTTCATGTTGGTTAATCATTTGATAACAATGATGCCAGTTTCCTCCTGCTCAATTCCAGTGGGTAAGTGATGGTCACATTTTTCTTCAGCCCTGCAACAAAGAAAAAAAAAAAGGAAATCTTGACTAAATCGCTAAACATGCTAAATCTATTTTACACTCTGCTTCAAGCGAATATCCACTTGTGTTTATGACATAAATGAAATAAGAATGTGCCATAAATGATTTATACTTTCATGATTTGGCATTTGGTTTATGTGTTGTGCAGAAACACTTAATATTTTTACATGCAAATTGTCTGTCTGTGAATTTTAATGTGAGCATATCTTTAAAAAAAAGTCAAACTGGACAAAAAAACAAAACAAAAACAAAAAAAAAAACATTCCAGAACATTATACAACTGAACAACATGCTGTGTGTGTTTATGAGTGTGTGCGTGAGAGCAGTAATGTCATGTTGCTGTGTCTATGGCATATGTAAATATGTGTTCATTTAAATGATAGTGAAGGAGAGTGTTTAAACCAGTATGAAATCGAGTCTACTGCCCTCCATCTTTGTAGGATATGATCTCTGAATGTCCAGAATGACACTCTGCCCATGAGTTGCTGCAGCTAGTGTAACCAGCATTGCATTTACCTGGAGGGGGTTCATCACTGGTGACTTTTCAAATGAAATGACTCTTTCTGTTTCAAACCATCCCTGTGTATGGGAGAATACTGGCAGAGGCTGAATGACTGTCACCTCAAAGTATGTCTCTGGCCAGCAGAGCTCGAGATCTCTGCAGCTATTCATTCCCTATAGTCTCTCTCACACACACACACACACACACACACACAGTACTGCTCTGCTCTACTGTCGCACTGATCCAAAGCATAACATTATCTTTCTTAGGCATTTATACACACACGTTTTGTGTAAATAGCTCTGTCGTTTGCAGATGTTGACAGCTTAACAGGAAGTTTTGGATGGTTTCTTGATTTGTGCACCAAGAAGTAAACATGCAACATAACACATCTGCTACACATACTGCCGGAGGGCTGCAGCTTTTCAAGCCAAATGTGTATATTTTTTTTTATACCATTAGCTGTAAGCTTAATCAAATTGTATTATGAAATATGTAATTTTTTGTGCATGTTCCTTAGCCTAAGAGATTGTTTTTCAGTATGCTACAACACAGTAAGGAATACTCCTCTGAACCATATAGGTTTCAAAAAAGCATTTTATTTTTTTTGTAAACCTTTGCAGTGTGTTATCTACAGAAACTCTCAAAGAGTGGTGTAGGGCCATGTCCATATAAAGGTAGTCCTTTCCTGACACATGTCAGAGGCAGAGTGACAGCTGTCAGCTTTTATTAAGCCTCTGTGTCCGTATGGCTTGAGCTTTTGACTTAGCCGCTGCTGCTATACAATGCATCCTGCAATGCATTTTTTTTAAACATGGGCTAATAATATTTTATTACATTTACCTACAAGTAACGTAGATGTTTTTGAGACTTTTAAATCCCCTCTCACTTCATAACCCCTTATGTATGTAAAATATGTTTATTATAGACTTTTTGTGCCCCTCTCATGTCATAAGCCCTTACAAGACTTAAAATGTGTTTATCACTGCATTACAAATAAATAAATATTTTGAGCATGGTTCAATCACATGATTAATAGCTGAGTGTTGTTTGGCTATTATTTTCATTCACATGTAAAAAAAGGCAGAAACAAAAAGCAAATTCCAATGAAAAATAGACATTTATTTAAAAAAAAAAACACACAATCATCAATCAATGTTCTCTCTTGGATTCTCAAAGTCACAACTGAATGTTTCCATATACAATACAGAAATGTATACTGCTTCAAAATGATAACATAATAGCACACTCTATGCAAAGAAGTTACTGTATAACCCATATCTTTTGAATATCACACACTGATGTTATTCAATACATTCAGAAAAAACGTCACAGATAGCATTAATTAAGCTGAGCAGCTATGCTAAAAAGCTAAGTCTCCATGCACATGCATCGCCTGCAGCACAGTGAAACCAAGGTCCATTTTTGCTCTTGATGTTGGCAGTGTTTGAGTCGTCCCCATCCCCCACCCCCTCTCTCCACACCCTTAGCGTCTGCACTGACACATTTGAAATGCATTTTAATACCAGGTGGAACAGTATGTGTCTTCGCTGACCACTTGTGATCGGATCACTGAAAACGCATCTTAATACCAGGTGGAAACAGGGCCTTCTATATTTCAACTGAACCCAAAAAACCTCAGTCCAGCTGTGGATAATGCTTTGTGTAGCCATGTGGCACAAAACGACTGTGACTATGTGAATGATTGTTGCCTATTGTTTATATTGTTGTCCTTTTCATCTACGCCACCAACCTTTACGCTTTCTTATCTCATTTCTCAGCACAGTTAGTGCAGGAGATACTCTCGTTCCCTCCCATTAGCCATTGACAGGCTGAGTCTAATGCATGCAGGAATTTAATTACATTCGGTCGGCTCTCATAACAGCGGTCTGGTTGCAGGGGGTTGAGGTGGAGGTAGGTTGCACACATCAGGTATAAGTGTGTGTGGGTGGGTGCAAGAAGGAGGGAGTTTTGCTGACACCTCTGTTGCCCACTTTCACGCTAATTAACACTTCTCAGATATACCGGGTGACGGTAGTCTACATGACAGGCTCAAGAGGACATTTGCACAGACCTTTTGTCTCTGGACAATCTGTGCAGATAAAGGTGTGTGCGAAACTTGCCACAAACGTGTGTGCGGGAGTATAATATATACACATGCACAAATACCTAACTGACAGCAACTAATGCACACACATGAAATGGATCTCCACCAATGCCACCTCATTATACCATCCCTGCTGGTCTCCATCTGTAGAAAGTCATGCAGGAACTCTATCCGAACCAGGATAACACAGGACCATGGTGGTGTGATTCATGTAACTGTCCGTTCTCCATGAGAATGCCTCACTGCCACTCTGCACTGTAATATCATGTCTTTTTGATGCTTTCCTCCACACTGAATTCAAAGGAAGCCCATCACTCTATGACAGTCGGTGTCAGTCCTGCTGATGGATGCATGTAGCACATTTCAACATGCGAATGTATAAAACTAATGCTTTGCTTGGCCTTCTATTATTAGCACTTGTTTTACCCTGGCGGATGGTTGATCACCATAAATCAGAAGCTCCAAGTAAACCTATATACACTTTTAATTGCAGTTTTAGTACATATTTGCAAGTGTAACACGCATGCGCCATCATGCGAGGCTTCTATGCAAGCGTTCTATATGTTTTTGTGCGTCTGTATGGGGGTGACATACAAGGAGGTAAGCATTAAGGGTAATTTCTAGCACTCCTGCCTCGGCAGTGCCAAGAGGATGCGCAAAGATGAAAGGTAATGCAAATGGAAGTGTCATACAGCGAGTTCCATTCCAGACAGCCACCTTTGAAATAATTAAGACAGTGGAATGGAGTGGAGCCCGAGTGAGGAATAGCAATTCCTCTGAGTGACTACTTCTTCCAAAGACAGCGAGCAACAAGGCACACCATTGCTGCACAAATGTTATGACAGCATTTCTATTTAAATGTTTGTTAAATTTGCCAAAAGAGTTTTTTAATGTTAATTTGATGATCTCTGTCAAAGGGACATCATTTTTTATTAATAATGGCCTTTTTACAATTATCGAGATAGTTATTAAATGTAATCACATTCAACACAATCTTATTGAAACATGTCAAAACATGTTAAATGTACAAGGATCTGGCCTTCTTTTTAGCTTTAGCCAAGGGCCACAATTCTGCGTAGAGCAAATACATATTCAACCAGAATTTTCTAATCGCACACAGCTAAAGATGAATACAAAGTGGGTGAAATGCATTGGATTCCATGCTGTGTTGGAATATGGCACATGTGTTGTGCCGGATAAGTACAAGGCTAGCCACAATCAATTCGCATATGTAGCTGACAACAGTGGGGCGGGTTTATGCATGCAAATGGGTTTCTAGACATGCACATCACCAGCTAATTGCATAATTGGCGAGTGTGATTATGCGAACGCAGTGGTGCCTTATTGGAACATACGAGGTGGGCTTGTAATCAAGTGCGTGCCAGCGGACATTTTAGGTCTATCCTTTTCGCATGCTCACCACTGCTAAATTCTTTAAGATGGTGGCACCTTGAAGGAAATGCTACTGCGCTGACGGAGCCCAGCCCACCTCCTCCCTACCCAGAGTCTGCAATGCGATTCTAGGAAGATTGTAGGACACCCTTCGCCTACCCCACCTGCATGATACATTTTTAATTCCCACGTCACTAATAAGGATATTAAGCAGAGAGTCTAGAGCTTCCGCATATATGCATGAGTCCGCATGCATTACATTTGCACAGAATCGAGCGATTCAAATGTGAATATGCTAATGTGCAGCACTTCACTGTGCAACATTACTGCCATGCATGACAAATGCTGCCTTTGGATAGTAACCCATGTTTTTCGAGACGCAAAAAAGAATCTCTGCTCAGATTTTCTAAGAAATGAGGTGGCACAACCCTAATTACACTGATTTCACCTGAACTGATTATTACGGTCAAAGTGCTAACGGTTTTTCAGCAAACAAACTCATTATATAGCCATATTTAAACTGCATTATTCACTCCTGAAAGATTTCTGGTAACATATTTCAAAATAGGTTCCTTCAAACAGATTGTTTACAAATTATTAAAACGTAAAAATGTACTGTAAAGTAAAAATGATTTCGTAAAGAATGTAGGCTTTATACTTTTTTTGTAAATAAAATTGTCAAGCTTCTCATTGGCATGACATGCATCATTTGGCTCTTTCATCTGATTTGAGTTTTGAGGGATATTTGAGACACAGTTATTGACTTATTTATAGCTCTGAGAATTTGCATAATCTAAATTCAGCAGACAACAGACATGCTCAGTCAAACTACTGTAGTTAACGCCACTAATGCATACGGTGTCACAGCACTGTTATTGCTCAGATTGCTTCTGGCTTAGAGTAATAATAATATTATTCAATCTTGTACCATTTTATAACTGTCATTATCTTGCAATTACCAATTACACTCAT